AAGTATTGAGTGAAAGCGTTGACAGAAAAATGGAGGCTTTGTTCAACCAACTACTGAATGAGGAAGGAGAGGTGAGGAGTCAAAGACTCAATAACACACGCTGAGTACAGACTGACAACAGAGAGGGAACTACAGATAGAAGACTGAGAATTCTTGACATCAAACACAGAACAGAAAATGCAGAAATACAGCAAATACATAAAGTCTGCCTTCTGCACTACGATGTATAGTATAGGGTAGCATCTACACTGGCAAGACGGATTTATAGCAGTGTGTGTGTGTGTGTGTGTGTGTGTGTGTGTGTGTGTGTGTGTGTGTGTGTGCACTGAAACCCAACAGCGTGTGAATCAACATTGCAGAAAATTTGATTATCCTACATGAATTCTCTTATGAAAAACACCCCAATCAGCTTGTAGACCAATGCCCCCGATGCACATTACCATGCTACACACACACACACACACACACACACACACACACACACACACACACACACACACACACACACACACCCCCCAAAGGTACACATAAATGCTCTCTTCTACGTGCAAAAGGCATGCATGTCCTTACCATTTTCTGAAACAACAACAGGCCTGTGTGTGGGTGCTTATATATTCTAGGAACTTTATCCACTTTGACTTGTAGACCATATTAGAGTTGTTATCCTTGAAAAAATTTTATGTTTATGGTTTGGACTTTTTGGGTTACTTTTTGGCCTCTCTTTTCCACTACCTTTACTTGTTGACTGCTGATACACTCAGTTGCCAGGAAACAGACGTCGATATAACAGAATACAATTCAGGAGCACCACAAACTGCATTCATTTCAGCTGCATGGGTGTACCTGATAGTATATTTGCTGCATGTCACTGCCAAATCGATTGAACATTGTTTGTTTGTACATCAGAACAAGCTAGGGACTCTTAAATAAAATAATACTTAAATTTCCCAGAATCCTGCTGGAGAAAGAGCCACGAACCAAGCACCTCTATTATCATTACACGGAGAGTAAGAGGAGAAGATCGGGATGGAGACATATGGGAAGCATGTCTATTTGTGACTTATATTCTGAAACAAGTTCACGTTATTTGACCTTCCAACCTGCATCATTAGGGAAACTACCAATTTCTAACAGCCAAATTTAGTGCTACCCCGCCCAAAATATTTAGCCATACGTCACCAAACTACTAGAGATCTTATTCTCACAACAAGTTGCCTTACATTTTTTATGGATTATACAAAAACATAATAACATAGTGATAACCTAGTAATAAACATAGTGTATGACACCACATACCCATGCTTCTTTAATGCAGTGTTAATTCTGACCTATTTTTCACAACAAAAATAAATGAAAAGTATGCTTTGTGAACTTCAAGTATGACGAAATGTATTGCATTTTTCGTCAACGAATAAAAACGAAACGATTGATGGACGGATGAATAGACAAGTGAATTTGTTTTTATTTAGATTCACACACCGGTAATCTCGACTGATTGAGTAAAACAGTATTTTATTTATTAGCAATTATCAATAGCAACAAAGACCGTTGGCTCTTGTTATGGCAGTCCAGCATATTTTTTGGGAAACTTGATGTGCCTTTGAAAAGTGACTCCAATATCATACCTGTTGAATCAGGTTTGATTTATTGGCCTGACTTGGCATTTTACTTGCCCCGGGCAACTGGGCAATCCTTACTGTTGAGCCATGCATTTGTAACGTCAATGTTAGGTTCAATTTGCAATCTTTCACTTTGTTTTTAAAAGGAACGAGTAAATTCTAAGATTAGGATGTTGTCCACCTAAATCTGCCTCTGGATGTTCACTAAAGAAATATCACTACATTAGCCAACATTTTAGGTTAACTTCTTAAACTAAACCTAAACACTGATCAGTATTTCAGTAAACACCAACTGAGGAGAGTCAGCCTACTGGCTGTATTACTGCAGGGCATAGTGACATGGACACAAGGACAAGTAAACAGTGCCTTTTCCACTAATCCCATAATACTAGAGAACAACTCCTGTAACCATGGTAACTGTGTACAATAAAGATGTAGTCTCAAAATACTTAAAAGACATTAAAAAAAACACAGGTCAGCAAAAATGTCACTTACAAAAACATGCTTTTACTCTCAATGACTTAAATTTGACTAAAATTAAAAAAAATTTTGTCAAAAGATGAATTTTAGGAAGGTAGTGCACATAATCATATCATATTAGATAGCAACTACTAGAATAAGATTCAGGTTGTAAGAATAGAACATGATTCTTTAGACCTGTAAACCCTACATTCAGATTCATTCCTTCTTATACTGAATAATCATAGGTCTCTCTGAGAGTTACAAGGAGTTCATCTTTTATAAACTGGCAGATTTACACTATTTTCAGAACTGAACTGCCTGCTGACAACGAAATGTAGAAGCAATTAATGTCATTAAAAAGGCATTTTGTTGATGTGTGTTTACTTTAGCTGCTAACAGTATTGATGGGGTGTCATGTTGGAGATAAAGTGTTGAACGAGTGCACAGGCTTGTGACTGAAATGTGGATTAGGTTCAGGTGAAGGTTCTGGTCGAATTTATGTAGTGTAGTAAAGTTAAGGACAGGGTGTTAGGGAATCAATGCAGCCAGCAGAACAGTCAGCAGAAGAGGTCATGTGTGAATGTCTGGTTTTTCAAGGGTGGATTTAAGAAAAACTTACGGTCAGAGTGTGTATGTGGGTGTACTGTAGGAGTGAGAGTATTACGCTTTCAATGGAACCATGACAGCGGCCAACTGTAACGTGTGTTTGTGCCTTCAGTGAAACATTTCTCTGCTCTGAGTTGTTTTTGCAGTGAAATGATTTCCTTTACAGTGCAGACTTCCCTCTTTACTCTACTGTCTCAGGGCCGATGAGCCAGAGCAGCAGAGCTGCTGACGCTCATATGTCACCACGGAAACACAAAGGCAAGGTCAGCAGGAAATAACACTGTTCATAACCTGCTTCCTTCTGTGTCTACCAATACACAGCTGAGGTGACTGGGTGTCTGCAGTGGGTGTTACTGGTTGGCTACATGAAACGCACATTACATTACATGTAATGGTGCAACAGTGAATATTTACATATATCAATACTGAACATGCATAATACTCTCCTACGCACTAACCATCTGGAGGAAAGGCTGCTTCCAATGTGGAAGCATGTAGCCCTCACTCCTCTCAGAGAGGAAAAGGGAGTCAGAGCTGAGAACTGTTGAAGCAGAAGCAGAAGTGTCTGTCGACAGTGACACTGCAATTAGCCATGCAGCAGGTTAAGCGAGCGCTGAGGGAGATCAAGTCAAGGGATTTCTCTGAGCTCTACCCCCTGAAGGCATCTGCTTCCAGCTAAAGCCCCCCTGCTTGGAGGGAGAATTCACTGTGAGAGTGTTTCCTGCGAGTATGTATGAGCAGAACCCATGGGCCCTCTAAGCCGAATCAAGGTCACCCACGGCCCTTAAGGATCTCATGATTCATGGGAAACATTTACACACTTCACGCATCACAAAACTGAAAGGATAAACTGCCTATGGAATCAGAGAGAGAGAAAAAATGAGGAAAAAACAGCTCTGAGAGATGGCAATTTAGTCTGGAGTGAACTTGAGAGGAGGTGGAGATGGAAAGAAACAAACAAATGAGAGATGAAAGGATAAGGGGAAGAAGATAGATGGGAGGAAAACAAAAGTCTTAAAGCGAGGGACGAGATTTGGGGTTAATGAGGGAGTGATGGAGAGAGTGACAGCGGCAGCTGGGGACTGAGGGAATGATGGACAGATTAGCTGACAGAGAAGAGGAGGACGGAGAGCAATTGAGAGCAGAAAAACAAAGTAAGTAGAGACTCTTCAATGAGAGTGGAGAGGCTCTTGACTTGAGAGTGATACTGCTGTGTGAGAGTGTGTAAAGACACACTGACACATACACACCAGGAACAACCACAGTGCTCTCTGGAGCTGAGGCGAGGGGGCCGCTGCTCACCTCATTACAGCTTTCAAATGATTAATATCCCAAATAAGTGAAAACATTAATATCATTAGTAGTGGTGAGACGTCTTGTACAGCTGAGACAGTGACACGCAGTGATCATACAGACGTGCTTTTCATGACTTTTCACGGTTTATATTTTATTTCTTTAATTGTGTTCATTTATTCCAACATTGGTCTTATTTTGGTAGTTTCGTCCATCTCCCCCCAAGTTGTCAAATACTACTGCCATACAAATGCATATGTACATTCCACGGTTCTGGTTGCATTACTCAGATTTTATGTAAATGGTGGTGTGTTTCTTTATTATTGTTACAACTGTGGGCGACTTCCAGCCCATGTACTCAACCTTTCTTTAGTCCTAAAAAGTGATTATCACTCACGCACGCACGCACGCACGCACGCACGCACGCACAGAATGTCTTTGTCTAGAAACACAAGATTAGGTGCTGTTTTTGGCTGTCTGTGTTGTTAAGTAAAATTAGATAGTGACGCTTTTCTTTAAATTAATCTTTATTTCAGCTAGTTAGTTGGTTTGTAAAGAAATCTGATCTCCTTATAATAAATCATTTTGATTCAACCACTAAAAACCTGGTTTGTGTGTTGCTTCCCTTGTCCCTTTACGAGCTGGGTCGTAACACATTTGTTCTGGCTCTTTATGCCTATATTTGATAGGGATAGTTGAAGATTGACAGGAAAGGAGCGAAAACAGCCCTAGTATGTATACTGGCTCTAAGTTGATAAGTACATTGTTATTATTAGCGATAGACAGGGTGATCGAAAACTATTAAAACAAGACTCAAGTTGCAAAAAGTAACAAGAGACATTTCTTGGTCACTCAAAGTTTGAAGGCTAGATGTCCACCCTTTCTATCTTGTTCTTGTTTTAAGAAAATCTGAGAGATTTCTCCAAGGCATTATATCTATTTACTCTTTATAGACGAGTAGGAGTAGAAATTCACAATACAAATATAAATGTAAGTACATGCCCACACATTCTGACTCACCTTGGCATATAGAGAACCCTCTCGGCCACAACAAATCCCACCCTGAAGAAAAGGTTACTGGCAGGAATGAAGGGAAAGACCAGGAACAACATTCCCACCAACACCTCCCTGCTCTCCTGTCTCTGCAGGGAGAGAGAAAGACAGAGACAGAGAGAGAGAGAGAAAGAGAGAGAGGAAGACAAACAGAGATATGAGTACATTCACAGCAAACAAACCTGATGTTACATTTTTCAATAAACCAAGTCAAAAGGCTCCAAGCGTAACCGTTTCCAGCAGCTTGGTTTTGAATGGTAATATGTGCCATTCAGACTCACACTCACACTCACACACACACACACACACACACACACACACACACACATGCATATGTGCACAGCTGTGACCAATCTGTCTTAAGTATTAACAATCATCTGTGCAACAGAGAAGCAATTAAGGCGATCAAATTATCAAATAACAGTTAATTCCTTTTTCTAAAGAGCCCATATCTGAGGCCATTCATATTTCATAATGCCCACAGCCTCTGCCTTGTCTCCTTCCATGTTATCCCACCATGGCTGTGTTTATTTGAACAAACAGGCCTGTAATTGGCTGAGTCAGCGGCCCCTCGCTGGGTTCAGCAGATCGGCTCATTAGCAGTAATGAGAGCGAAAGAAGTGTGAAGTGCTGATTAGTGTCACACCAATCAGACGCTTGTTCTGCCGTCAGCGGGCTCATCGACAGCTATTGAGGCCATCCCTGACTAGAGGGGACCTATAGTGATATTATAGAAGCACAATGAACAAACACACTCTGAAAAACACTACTGATGCGAAGCCCTGCTGGTAATGGCCTGAAAATTACACAGAGAAGAACACAAAAACACTGCTGTACGCTGATATCATCAGACACTGGTACTGCCATAAACATTATGAACATCTACAAACATAAACAGAGAATTACTGCTGGAGTCATAGTCAATGGACCTACAGTAATCTCACAGACAGTAATGCACACACAGAGTTAGTGATACGACAGCAGACTGCAAACAGGCTGAGCATTATCCGCTCAAACAAACTGCAGCGCACTTATTATAATTGTTGATGGGGTAATAGTGTACCGATATTATCGACAGATGAACAAATACAAACTCCCTTAGCTACAGTAAAACTGCTTCTAAATTCCCTTTGTGCATTTATTGTCTATTGAGTCATACATGGTGGCTACAGAGTGCCACAACAAAACCACATGTAGTGTCTGCAGTGGTCGATTTGAATATTTGTAGTTTATTTTTAGTTTATTATATCATTAATATTTTATGAAAAAATAAAACATACATTTTAGGTACGAATTTGTCAAACCACAATAAATTAATAGAGTAGGGTGAATGTCTAACCTTGTAAGGGCAGCTGGACTCACAAGATCATGAAATCTCGTGACAATCCATTTTGCCAGGCTTCAAGCTATGCACTTGTGTCCAACCACAGTGGTTTGGACCAATCAGCGTCCAATGAGGAACTACTGGCAGCTACGACCCTAACCCTCACCACAGGCATGGTTTAATGCTAAGTGTGTGTGAGAAGGACTGATTGGTCAAAAACAACAATGGCGGCTGCTAAAGAGGTTAGCATAGATGCTGCTAGCATCAGTTCTATCAGAAGGGAGAGTATTTCTTCATTGAAAGAAAAACAAAGAACAGAACTGACAGGTTTTCTCCATGGAAAAGATGTTTTCTCTCTTCTCCCGACTGTCTTCAGTAAGAGGTTGACTACGTTATATGGTTCATTGATCTGACTGGTTGAAGTTCCCTGTCCCTACGATTACAATCAAAAAGGTATTCTCTCATACTGTCAGTTTTATGAATCGTTTCTTAATATATCTATCTTCTCAAGCAATTGTCTTGTCTTTACTTGTATTGTTGTCAGTTTTCTGTTCCTCTATTAGTTTCCGTTAGTATAAGTTTATTTCGGTCTATTGATTTCCACTTGCTTATCTGTTCATTATCTTTTCCTCTGTCCATTACTTAGTCTCTCTGTTCCTTATCTAGTTTCTGTCATCTTCCCGTCAACTCCAATTTGCGTCATGCGTCTATCAATGTGTGTGTGATTCTGTGCATCAGTGTGTGAATGTGCATGAATGCATTAGTTTCTGTTCGATGGGCTTTGCCATCACTGAGTGAATGTGTGTGAAAGGGTGAATGTGGCATGTAGTGTAAAAGCACTTTGAGTGGTCAGAAGACTAGAAAGGCGCTGTACAAGTACAGGTCCATTTACCATTTACCATTTACATGGGACACTTGGGTCTCTTCTGAGGTTTCCGGGTCTGCCCAAGTTGGACATGGCTGGAATACCTCGATAGAGTAGAGTCCAGGAGAAATCAGATGCACAAACCACATCAACTGGCTCCTTTCAGTATGAAGCACTGCTTCTACTCCAACCCCTGAGCCCCTAAACTTGTCTCTATAGGGGGGAAATCAATTACCTGCAAAGGAAAATTATTTTGGTCACAACTAAAAGCTCATAACCATAGGTGAAAATTGGAATGTAGATCGACTAGTATATCGAGAGCTTCAGGCTACGCTCCCTCTTCATTACTAAAGTCCGGTACAGAGTTGATAACGATGCAGCACCATCATTCTGTCAATCTTGCCTTTCAACCTTGATTCATGAGCAAAACCGCAAAGTTACTGAAGTCCTTCACTTGGGACAGGGAATTAATCCCTACCCCAAGGGGGGAAATCATTTTTCAACTTGGTTGAAAGCCAATCCACTGTGAATTAATTTTGATTTCTACTAATTGATGCCGCCTGTGACTGTCTACTGAGCCAAATTTGTGGTTAACTCATCACTTGCAATGAAAATAATGAAACAAAGACGCCATCACTGTGGTTTCCAGTGGAGTTGGAGGGTTGTTACTTCTAATTGCTGGCTACCATCCTAATTGCCTGGCATCAGACTACTCTCTCTTCCTCATCTTTTCTTAGCTCCCTTCCACTTTTCTTCCTTTGCATGTCTTTAAATCTTTTTGTTCTCTCATTATTTTCTCTGGTCTTTTGATCCTCTGCTCCACTTTGATTTATTTTCTTCATTTTTCTGTCTTTATTCTCTTTCATCACTTCAGCTTCCCCCTGCATACAGCACTGTAACTGGTAGTCCTTTAAGCATTGTGGCAATCTTGTCTGGACTCTTGGCTGGTATAGCTGTACTTTACATGCCTGACTGCATGTGCTGCATTCACACCAATAATTTCAAATATACAGTACATACAATTTTAACAATCACACTTTATTTTGAAGTCACACTATTTGAAGAGACAGCAAGGAGAGCTGAGCTGAACAAAATGCTTCTTGAACTGTCTCAGCCTTTTTTGTGTCTTCCAATATATAACTAAACACACAAACGCCAGAGATGGGTGTGTGTGAGAAAGAAAGAAAGGTAAAGGTGGTAAACAACTCCTTCTTGTAACAAGATGTTACCAACATCAGGTGTGATGCTAGTTTCTAATCTTCTGCTGTGAATATGTTTGCTTATGGAATTTTCTCCCTAAGTGAGTGGTGAAACCCTATTTCAAAACTGGATAAGAATTGTGTTATCTGCATCCAACATACTCTTCAGTGTGAGGAGGCTGTGCTTTTGTCCCAGGAGAGTTCTGCCCATTTCAGGGGCTATTGTCTACAAAGTCCTCATTTCAAACACAACAGCTCAACATGGCTGTCCCATTCCAAAGGCTCATCCAATGTCAGCAAAATGCAGTCTCCTAAATTTTGAGGTGGCACAACCAGTGTATTCGTTTGCAGGAATTTGTACTGTGCCTCAATTTCTATGGCATAATTTGTTTAATTCTAGTCTAGGCTCACAATGAGTATGGTAAATCTTCTGTAAACTTATTAAAGCCTATTGGCCTCTGTGCTCTGAGCAATATCTTCATAGGCCAAATCCTTTGAAGGATGTTGCCCTATCTATAATAAGACTTGGTTCTAATCTCATATAGCCGAAACTTCAACTCACCAAGCCCACAGACATTAAGGGATTATATTTGCACTGCATGTAAAATATGAAAACTCCTTATTTTGGTGCCATACGGTGGTGGTATCAAGAATGATGCCGTGTCAGACAGCAAATCTGGCAGCAAAACTTCACAGCACTCATCTACTTTGCCATTCTTTTATTTGAAGTTAAGCTACTGTCAAAGAGAGAGTCACTTCCTTCAGATTTTAAAAGTCTAGGAAGCCAGGGGCTATGGATTATGCCGTTTGCACTGCTGGAAGGCCTTTAATGTGAAACATCTGTGCAGGAAGTGATTAAAAAACTGCAGTAGAACTGACTGCAATTAATTAGTGAATGAAAACAGTGTTTCTGTTTAAAAAATGCAATTTAGAGCAACAGATTATTGAGTATCACATGACTCTGTTATGCTGTGGAAATTTTCTGACTTTTCGGTTCCTGATGGTAATTTTTGTTCTGTATATGTTTTCATCGGGAAAGCACTTTCTGCTTAAGCTTGAAAGGTTCTTTACAAATAAAATTATTAAGGTTATTATTATTACACACTGGACCTTTAAATCTCTGAGCCACCAGGATGGCCCATACTAATTTGACAATTTATGGTGGTGAGTTTGTGTACTTATCACATTAAAGCAAAAATCATTAAAAGAAATATTGCCATAACTCAGTCCTACACATTGATTTACAACATTCTCCTGGAATATACCATTGTATTGTCCAACCCTACTACAATCACATACAAATTCTACACAGTCCAAGCATTGGTTAGGAAAGACCACACAGCTGGCTACTATTACCAATAAAATGGTGCCACAGGGACAATTTGTTTCTACCCAAAAAACAGAAATCCAATCCGAGGTGTTATTTCCATAGGGGAGTGTTTTCAACCTCACATCCAACAGAATGGCTGTCTAAGGACTTCTAAAGAACTGATTCTAATTTTCCAGGAGTTATCTCCAGACCTCTGCGAGTGGACCCAGCAGGACTATCCAGGAAAAGAAGACAGAAACTGAATGAAGACCTGCCACCCACACTGGAGAGGCTAGCCAGAACCACAGATGGCCGGGCATCACACACACACACACACACATACATACTTGCAAAAACTGACCGCTGGCACTAAAACATCCACACACAGGCAC